GCGGTATAGCGGTATAGCGGTATAGCGGTATAGTGGTATAGAGGTATAAGGAATAATAGGGGTATGGCTCTTATAACCACTATAGCGGTATAGTGGTACAGGCTGAACGTTGTCCTAGAAATCAATGTTTTTATTTAGAAGGTGGTTAGATATGTTTCCGAAAGAAAAGAGAATAAATGAAAATTTATAGTGAATTTAAATCATAAATAATGCATCTTTGTTTTTACTTTTTCGAGCATTCGATATAAAAGAGAAATAAGATTGCGGTTTGTATATAACGTCGATTATTTTGATCATTATGTATTTTTTTGAATTAAAGGAATAATGAGCTGTTGCTGTATTCAGTATTTACTCAAGAATAATTGACCAAATGCAAGTTGGGCACATTTCATAATCTTATTTTTGAAAAGTAAATTTACACCTACACTTTGTTCGTATAAACAGAGTAAACACAAATTTTGCTTTAGCTTTTCAATAGAAACGTTTTTCTGTATGGTTGTCGTTATTGTATTGTTCATTTTGATGATTTTTCACTCAACATTAACTAAACTTTTGAGGAAATGAATTTCAGAAGTTCCCCGTGAATCATATTCTGCATATCGTCGCCGTTGGGTATATAAGTTTCAACATAAAAGTCAATCTAAAATTTGCACGACGATGCTGTAGGAGGTGGACAAAGTATTTTGAATGAAAATTACTCATCGTCTAGATGTGTTTCCTGAAAATTTTCTTTGAGCTGTTGATGGTATTATAAAGCGAAATATGGTTTTTACTTTTTTTACTAACAAAAAAAATATTGAGTTTTTCAGATAAAGTATTGATGGTTGTGTTAGCATTTATTGCCAGTTGTCATTTATCCTTGTTGAGTAAAAATCGCACAATTCGCACTGTTAATATTGTTTCAAAAAGGAAGTGTTGTTTAAGCTTGAATTTGATTACAATAACTAATTATAATTGTTGATCCCTGCATTGACCTTCATAATTCATTCTTTGGTATTATGAAACGGCAAATACTTATATACAACTATCGAAAAAATCGAACGAAATAATCTGATTATGAGGTCATTTACATTGATCTGTGACGTTCAAATATTTGCATATATCTGTAAAGCTAGTATTACAAAAAGTTGATTGTTATTGCTGTTTTTAAGTCTTATGTAACTAAATATTACATCTAATATTATTTATACAACCAGAAATAAACGTGATTCTTTGATAGCAATTTAATTCAGTCGTCATCATCCATATCGTGCTTAGTATTATTGTCATTTTTATCGCCATATCATTCATCCTGGCTCTTTTTGAATATCTTGATCTCTAGAGACATCGTTCCTTCATTGTTTTAAAAAAGCTTGTTAGCGCAGCCGCTTTGGGACTGATGTGTGGAACTCACGTATGTTCTTCAGCTTCATTATACTAATATCAAATATAGAAAGTATAAAATCAAGGATTTCTGAGTTTTTTAATTTTCTGACAGGCGCCCGTATTTTTCGTTTTCATTGTTGCTATTCGTTCAGTATTTTTCATTTTTCATAATTTTTTTTTGTCTTAATTTTATATATTTTTTTTATTATAATCATTGAATTAATTGGTAAATACGTCTGTTTTACATATTGATTATATCTATACCAGATCTTATGTGATATTATATATATTAATCAACTCACCAATAATGATGTTGATTATCTTTCAAAATTTACCTTGATCCATTTTGGAAAAAACTATAGAAAGTCTGATGCCTGTTATTCTCGATTGCTAAGGTCTGTAATAGGGAGGGAGAGAAGGGGGGGAGCCGCCAAACCTCGCACTTGAAACTTACACTCACTATTTTCTTCGAAAATATACGTGAGTTCCACAAAATTTCATTATATTATAATAAATACGTCACAAAAACTATATTCTAATATAGATATATTCATATAACTTTTAGACTGAGATGAAAGTAATTTTTTAAGATAAAAATAAGCTCTTATGAAGATAATAGTAATATCTGATTGATTTCTAACGAAAAAAGTCTTTTTAATTTTTGACAATGGAAACTAACTATGAATAAATATTTTTAAATGTATCTTCCAATTGGTTTCACTACTGAAAAGAAGATATATTCTTTGTTACGGAGGCTTTCTTCTTGTAACTCTATGTTAATTTTCTTTATCTGTGTTGTCGTATTGAATAGTCCGTCGATTCTAATCTATTGTGAATAATACAAGAAGAATAGATTCATCTAGGTCATTTTCATTGTTTAACCAAATTCTCTTTGTACAAATCGATCGCTATAAATACCGACGTTGCAGTCTGTTTAAGCGATTAACATCTTCTATTCTTATTATGTATTATGGCGAATAATCGAACACCAGTTCATCCGATTCCTGCTGATTTTGCAGCAATTCTTCATTCAAACTTTCAACAATTAAATTGTCTTCCACCTTTTGATATCGATTTTCTTGATAAAGATCAAGATTGGTATTTATTGTGCTTCTTAAGGGAGCAACAAAGAAATGGTCATTCATTTGAAGTTACTTTTGCGGCATTAAATTCTATTGTCGGCGCTTTATCCGAACAATCATATTTTTATGATACTTTTAATAATAATATGGTTTTTTTAAATCAAAACCATCATTTACTTGGAGAAAGTGGTAAATACAGTTTTTGTCAAATTAGACTAGATATGTACATTATTTCATTTTTGAAAATTCTATAGAGTACATAGCGTAGAAAGTATTTTGAAAGGATGCCAGTTTTTTTCATTATTTTTTCGATCAGTATATCATTAATTAAGCATGATCTAAACAAAAAACAGAAACTAGCTTTGATTGAAAATTCAAACATGAAGTCATTCCTCAGCTCATTATGTTTTTTTATATCATTAATAATTTTTTTTTTATTGTAGCATCAAATAAAAGTTCCATATGCCAAGAAGTTTCATCAGCTTTACAAAGTGTCATTGAATCATTTCCCAATCGATATTCATCTCCAAAAGCAATTTCGAATAATGAAAATTATGACGATATTCATATAAACAAAAATAAAAACAAATCATATGCACAAGAATACTCATTAGTGGTATCAAATATCACTGAAGTCGGCTTAATCAACAACTTATCTAAAATCAATACTACTCTATTACACTCCGATGGAGATGTAGCTTTAAATAAGTTTGGTTATTATGATCAAGGTAAAAATGAAACAGCAGCTGGAGTAAGTTTGTTCTGTGACGCCTCCGATGGTATCCGTGGAGGATTTATCCGAGCGACAGGAATATCACAAATAATAATCAATCGACCAGTAGCACTTTTAAACATCTTCATTGCCAGTACTGGTACTAAAATGGCTAATATGCTTCAACGTTTTTATGAATTTCGAATACAAGATGGTGTTTTTGGTCGAGTCTTTTTTACATGGTGTTCCAGTATTAGTGAATTACCAATGACGAAACCTAAATGTTACACAAACGTTGCTTCATTTTCTCATTTTGCAAATTCAGTTGCACATTTATTTATTAATCAATTTCAATTTCGTTATTCAGCACATGAATCTGATTTTTTGAATACCAATACGGAACGTAAGTGTCTTTCTAAATCTTGACTTTTGTTGTAGAGAAAAAGATTTTTAATTTAAAAATCATTATTATGTGTCTTTTAAACACTGCCTAGTTTTTCTTCTCAACTCTCTCCAAGTTAATTCATTGTAATTAATTATAGATAAAAACTAATTGCATTGTTCTTTTTTTTCTTTTATAGATTTTGAAGATGAAGAACGTTTAATGCAAGAACGAGAAAAACAAAACGTCACAACACCAGCTACATATGGTGTTACTTTGAACAACAATGATATTCGTACATGTAATATTGATGGTGATCAAGATGATAATGATGAACAAACTTCTTCATTCAAACTTTTAAAAACATTAGTTGCTGATTGGTGGAAATCATCCAATTCAGCTGAATATCATTTAAAATCGATTCGTCGTAAAGTGAATAGTATGTTACCAAAATGTATTTGGTCAATGAAAATCATTCGTATTATTTTTCGGTTAATGAGTAATAATTTGAGGTATATCGATCAGAAACAAGGTGATCGATCAACATCCAATTCGGCTTCTATTGATTTATCATTTCAACAAGCGATAGAAACATCCATTAAAAATTATTTATTAGCTGAATGTCACAAAATTCAAGAAACCAAATGGATAATATGGTCAAATAAAAATGATATTATTATTGGTTACAATTGGTATTTGAGAAAAATGTTGGTCGTTGAAGCTCTTCTTACACTTAAATCATTACCTGATATTGTAGCTCAAAGAATAGGAACAAAACCAATTGAAAAGTAAGTCTATTTGTTTTTCATAATAAACTAAAGGAAAAGTTGCTAGTTGTTTTTGTTTGATATCTTTATACATATGATATTAATTAAATAAGAGTTCTACCATAAAAAGATTTTTAAATTCTATTCTTTTTATAAGTTTTAAGATCTATAAATATATTAGTATCGTAATAGCTATTTCATGTATTGTTTTCTTTTAGAAGTCAAGAAGAAATCAGATTGGAAAAGGCAATGATCAAGGTTATGAATTTTTCGGTTGTTTTTTTTACACGACAATATTTAACAAATAATAAACAAGGTGCAGGATCTGGTCAATTTTCTCATTCATATGATTTAAAACCAGACCAAATTCTTTCTCCTTTAATTGAGAATGGATTACTTATTGGTGGAAACTTTATTAAAAATGGTCGTCATAGAAAAGATAATTCACAATATTCATCATACTGCAAACAATTGCCATCAGTGATTCAAAACAATCCAAGAATAAAACAAGCTTTTGAAGTAAATATTATCATATTGTTCATATTTCTTTAGCGAACCCTGTACGTTGCACATATGTAAACGTATGAATAAATCTATTGTAAGCTATTTTTACATCAAATAGACTTGTATATATATTTAGAGGCTCAAAGTTATATAATAAAAATTAAACGTAAATGAAACAAGATTGTTTTTTTATTTTTTATTTTTATTTAGAATATTAGAAGTGAAATAATAAGAAAAATCTTCAACACATGCTAAGTGTATTAAAGTAAACGTTTCTTTTCCATTTAGAGTTTGGGTTTAAATATGTCACATTATGAAACAACATTTGAACATCAACGTTTACCACTTGGTATGGAGTTTACTAATGAAGCTATTGATTTTATGAAAAATAATGATGGATTTGTACAATATTATCATAATTATTATAAAGAAGACCATCATTTTCAATCATTCCGAGAAATGGTAAACGAACGTATTCATCTTGGTGAAATTATACGAAATGAAGGTTTGTATAATTTTACATCAATCATTTATTCCTGTTTTTATTTCTAAGTCTCTCGTGTCTCTTTTATTGCAGGTAAATTGTATTCAACTGATTCTATTCTCATCAACAACCATCAAAAAGAAAATATCCATAATAAAACTGCTTTCAAATTAAACAATACTCCTTCAAATTCTACATTGGTAACAACACATATTACTGGAACACCTCATTGTATTCAAATGATTAGTGAAATTACTTCTGAATCGTTGACAGGTAATAAATTATTACATACGATTAGTAATTAGAATTTTTTTTTTGTTTCGTTGTATTAAATACAATTTTAAGGTGATTTTCCCAATAGCACACTCTGTTTAGCAGTGTTGAAAATGAGATTTATCGAAATAGCATAATTTTTTAAAACAAGTATGGGAAAATATTAATTGTAATATCCAACAATTACCCAAATCGTGTACCATTATAGTCTCATTTTTTATACTAACTAAAGCTTCTAATATAGGTTCTTTCAATTGAAACTAGTTTTTCTCATTTGTGTTTTGCAGTAACATAAATATATTTGTTTCGTAATTTTTTCGGACAATGTATCTTTTGTTTTGCATATAATGATTTCTCAGCTAAATGTTTCACATGATAAAAAGAATATACGGGTTTTCTCTTAGATCGACAACTTCAAACAATTGGCGAAGCAGAAGCTACTGTACCCTCTCAACCAGATAATTCAGTTAATACTGAAAATGCAACAGAACATGAACATCACATTCTAATGTTGTCAAACTTAACTGAAGATATTACTGGTTCAAATAAACAATCATCATCATCACCACCACATGAACTTTCACGTTCTCTGCGTGGTAACACGACATTTACATCATCATTGAAAAGTAAGTGAATCGAAAAATCTAATCTTCTTATCTAAAAATACTATATTCCCAACAATACTGAAATTCCATCTTTTTTATTTTCATTCGCACGAATTCTTTTTGAATCTGTTATACATAAATATTTCATTAATTGGTAATTTGATCTATTCAGTTGATATTCCTTTCGAGCATTTCTTTCGGATAAAATAAAAAATATGATGCGATTGTAGCTAGTGAAGAAAATATAAAACATAACTATTTCATTTCTTCTACCATATGTACGTATTTCAGGTTCCATCAACAATATCTTCATTAATCGTATACAACATGTCGAACCTGATAATTTTGATTCTTTTTTCGAAACAATACAATCTGAAAATCAAAGTAATGTATCATTCCACTTGAAAACCGTTGTTGTCTCTCACACTTTCACGAATACTGTATTTCTTTCCGTGACGATTTTCAAAAAATTCACCGTAAGATATAGTAGATGTTATCGATTTTGAGAATTGTAAAGAAACTAATATTTTTGTAAAATTAAAAGGAAGCTAGCCAGCATAAAAATGAAATATTGATTTTAATCTTTCATTTACTAAATTTGATAGAATAATGAATCGTGTTCATCTCGAAAATTTTCTATATCTATAGATTCTTTCCACCATCGTTCTTCACCTTCCCTTGTATTTACAACGACAGCTTCATTAGTCACCACTGGTGCTTCATCAAATTTAGGTTAGGTTTTTTTCTTTTTGACTCAAATCATTATATGAATCTTGTATTAAAATATAATTACATATTCATTTATCTTTTTTTGTTTTTTTTAGCTTCCAATAAAGATCAATTTGCTACCAATTTTGAAGGTAGTCTTGGTGATCAACAATTTGATTCAAATATGATAGTAGATGAGCCAAGAGAAGATACAGTCGTTGGCAATCGGATGTCTAGTGGTGAGTTGTTTCATATGTTGTTTCATATAGAATTTTATCATTTCAAAATACTGTCATTCCTATATACAATGATAGCATCTTCGTTTTCTCAAGTCTTTTTCATTATTCCGCCATAGAAGTAATATTAGTCGACCATAATTCTTAAAAATAATGCTCTATATCCGTTGATTTTATTAAAACGAGCTTTGGCATTTGTTGTGAAACGTATTGCAAGTTCATATTTATTTGTTTTTATTTTTATTTCTGTAGATGAACAAAATTCAATACATGAAACAACATTTTCACCTACTAGTGTATTAAAGAATCTCACAAATAGCATCACGACATCTTCAACAGGTGCTATATAATAATATATACATAAGTTTTTTTAATCAAAATATCGATATTCTAGATTCCAATACTTCAAATATTCAAAAAAGAAAGCGACGAGGTCGTCCAAGCTCAACAAATGCAACATCACAGAAATGGTCAATGGAAGGTGAATTTTTCGATTCTCTCTTTCTACTTTTGAAACTTGCTAGAGTAGAGCAGTTAGGAGTAAAATTTAATTAAATTTATTTGTGGAAGTCATTTAAAAAAATTTTCTATCCAATTGATATTCTTTTATGAATAAAGTCAGTCGAGTAAAAGTTGTTGTTGAATTCAGTTGTACAAGTCGTAATGCTATTAAAGAAATCTTCGGTGGATAAATAACTAATGAGAGAGAAGTTTTCATTCAACTTTTGTTCGAGAAAGTTCCGTGTCGATTCTTCTTGAAAAAATTTGTAAAATGTTGTTGTTTTTTAGAAGTCGACAATCTTATCATCAATCCGAAATCTTTTTCTATGTGGAAGTCAATTCTTATAAAACGTCAATTTATTCTTGGTACATTGACCGATTTGTTTAAAATGATACCTTCAAGATTATTTGATGAAACGTCTCGATTTAAATTAATTGATTTTCTTGTTCAGAAAAAATTATTGGTTAAAGGTAACTGGTTTTGTGATGGAAAAGGTACTTCAATTGGTGGTTATATGAAAGGCAGTCCTGCTAATCCTGATGTAGCGATGAGCCTCGCCGATTTGGGGTTAGATATTGAAGAATATAAACTTTCTTTGAATCCACATCACAATGTTAAACGTCATATTGATGGGAAAATGGTCAACCAATCGTATTTATGTAGTGATCTATTAAAAGAACAAATAAACAATGATGAATGGTTCAAAGATAATCTGGAGATCGACGAAAACTTCATTTATGCTACAAATAAATTATCACAAACTGTGTCTAATTATCGTAAGCTTATTTGATTGAAAATTTAATAATCATCTGTTGTTACATTTCATAGAAATCGATCGATTTCAGCAACAACAAAAAGACAAGATTAAAAGAACAATGGCAAGTAAAAGAAAAAAAGCTGAAGAATTGCAAAGAGAAACTTTAAATGTATGTGGTACAGATATTCCTGTTAAACGTAAGCGAAAACCAAAAATTCGTGAAGACTAGTATTTATATTATTTTCACTTTCAATCAGTATAATGTATTTTTCGCCCTTCTCTATTATGTCTTTCTATGTGTACATAATCATTATTTATTACTTCTATCAGTAATTTGTTATTAATATTTAACGTTGTTTTATTGGTTATTTCTAATCATTTTTTTTACGAAAGATTTTTTGTTTATAAGATTATTTTGTAAAATTTCAAATTATTTCACATCTTAGACTCAATCGAGTCTATCATTGTTACTTTATCTTCTTGTTTTTATTTAACTATTTGTTTGTCAATGATAATCTTCTTCTCTCTATGAACATCTCTAATATCTTTCAATCCATATTTTTTTTTCGTTTATATATGTACAAAATTCGTTGAAATTTTTCTTCATTCAACAGCTTGTTATTTCAGTTTTTTTTCTGCATATTCTTTACTCATCATGTTATTAGTTATCTTCTAGAAAGATACTATTGACATTTTTATTGAACTCGTTTATATATTTTCTGTAATTCAATTTTACGAAGACATTTTTATGTTGTGAAAACATATATTTTATATATATTTGTCTCAAGAGTAGTAACTAATATTAACTATTATGTCAACGTGTACATTAGCACAATAAATATTCTTCCAAAGGATTGAAACTTACTTTATTTTTGGATAATTAATAAGAAAATTAGCAATAGAAATCGTAACAAATTTCACAGAGGACGCTAAAACATGCTGGATATTTTTAAGTCAAAAAACGATAAAATATCATCCAATCTCAAGAAACCACAATATTGATTATTTTTTATATAGTTGCACAATAATGCTTTTTTTCTAGAATTGTAGAAATATTTGATCTTGAAGTTCAAATCAAAATTGCTTTATCAAAATTTCATCTATCTATTTATGCATCAACAAGTTTTAAAATATTTAAGCTACAAATGGAATTGGGATATTTTGCTTCTAGAAAATTTAGATTTTTTTTTCAATTGATACTCTCAAGCACAACAGTAAAATTCATTTACTCGTGGTCAAGTTTTCTTTAAGTATACGTCTTAGAAGAATCTAATATTTTGATTCATCTAAATCTTTCTCATTGACATTGTTTATCACATAATATAGACAAATAGAGGTGTAAGCCGACGCCTCGATCGGCGGCTAAAAAAATTTCACTTTTTTTGGCTTTCGGTGGCTGGACATAAACTCTGAGTCAGCGATGGCGGCGGCGACTGAACATTAACTCTGAGTCAGCGGCGGTGGCGGCGGCTGGTCATAAACTGTAAGTCAGCGGCGGCGACGGTTGGACATAAACTCTGAGTCAGCGGCGGCGACGGCTGAAATTTTTTGTTATATTTTTGAAAACTTCTCTTAGTTTCGATAAATTTTTGAGCAATAAAAACGAGAAATGATAATAGAGAATGTTTCGATAAGAAAAAGATTAGAAGAAATCTGACAACTGATTTTCAATATTCAAAATATTCAAAAATCAAGTATGTATATTTATGACGTGGTGGCGGCTAGGATTTTCTATAATTTTTGTTGGCAACGGCGGCGGCTGAGAAACCGTTCACATTTTTTTGGCCATCGGCGGCGGCAGCTCAGCCGCTCGGCTTACACATCTATGAACAAATGTGAGTGACCACAGCAAAAGATTGTGACATTTGGAATGTTTGGTGTTTGTTGTACATTAAATCATTATCTAGAAAGATCAATTTCACATATTTGTCTAATTTTAGATGTCAACTATCGAAACAATATCTCAACGCCTTGTATTAGCATTTCCTGATGAAAGTAAACGATCTTTTAAAGCAGCCACAATCATCGTAAATATTGGGCGTCTAATTCCAGCAAGTTATGTTTATCCATTGCCTCCTCCTAGTACTAGTGAAGAACGACTTCATTTTATATGTTTCATTTTAAAAAAAGAAACTGGTATTCATTATTCCAGCAATGATGTTCTTACCGCTCATAATATTTTAATGGGCAATCAAGCTGTCCAAGACCAATTGAATTTCGATTGTGGAATTGACAAGATACAACATTATTTGAACGAATATAAAAATCTTCAACCTGAATCAGCATTTGCAAGAAACTTCACTCCTATCTTACTTTTACCACATCGAACCATTTGTAGCTTGTGCAATGCACAATTAAAAATTATTTTTCAATCCTGTGCCCAAGTTATTTACTGTACAAAAATTCAACCGTGCCTTCTGTATAAAGCTGATTGTCATCAATGCCGTCGATCTTATCGTATATCATCCATTTATTTGATAGATCAAAAACAAACACTTGTCACTGCTGAATCACAAAAATCTGATTACATACATTTTTCTGGTTTAACAGTTTTTTCAAAAGAAATTCTCATTTGCTTTTCTTCGCAATTAATTGACAATTATGCTACTTTTGAAGGTTTTGCTTTTGCCACGATAAAAACCTTCAATAGACTTCATCCTGGTAGCGGAAATGTTATTACAGCTGATAATCTCGCTCGTAATCTACAATCTGTTTGGTTATATTACGAGTTAACAAATTTTATATTAATGGCTAGTAAATCAATGGAAATTTGCTTTCCCCACGCAATGAGTGAAGGTCGAACAACAATCAAAGGACAGCAATCATCAGGAGCAATATTTATTGAAAGAAACTTGAATTGGATCTATCATGTTTTCACTGTCTTTTGGTCAAATCACGAAAGCTTATTTGGTAGCTGTAAATGTGGTAATTGTTCAAAAGTTATGATAATTGATGGCCACCAAAAGCCGTAAGTCTATTTATCAAAAAAGGTTTTGATTTGCATTTCCTATTAATTATTGATAAAATATTTCAGAATCATAATTCTGCATGATCTACATGTCTTTCAAATGCTGGTATTTTGTAATTTTTTCCTATGAACATAGTTTTATTATTGTAAACAAAAAAAGAAATTCCCATTTAATATTACATATACTTGATTAATTCAACGATACTTTTGATTAAGAGCGAATAATTTTTTTTTTGAAAACTATCTTTCCGAATAAAAATAATATTTGTTTTTTTTCTATTTCAGACGCCGTTTAGTTTGCAGATATGATAACGTGACCAGTGTTCTTAATGCTGCTGAATTAGGCCCCATCAATCGAGGTTGCCCATACATGCCAAGAAGAAAAAAATCGGACGATCAAGAACCGGATGGTGGTATGAAAATGATTTAATGTAGCCATTGATTGAAATTCTGTTTTTTTAAATATGAAAAGGTTGAGTTCTTAAAAAAACGTATTAAATTAATTTTGTGTGAATAGTCATACAAAAATTGAATGAAAAAAAGTCGCATTGTTATATCAATCTACTGTTTATAACAAATATTACCGGTATTTTTATTTTCAGATTATGGATATTATTATTGCAATCATCATCGAAATAAACGTACAGAAGAATTATCAATTAAAACGAAAATGTCCGATAATGAATTAGAAAAGTATTTGAAATATCTTAAAGAATTTGATCGTGAAGAATCTCAATGCAACGTTGGTCGAAATGACATGGAAGAACGTTTTGCAGCAAAGAAACGGTCAATGGGTTTTATTGCCTCATTCTTGAATTGTGGAATTATTATCGGTTTTTCTGATTCGATTAATCACGAAGGACCTCGTAAAATCACCGACCATCTGTTGACAATGTTGAAACTTGGAGCAAAATTACCGTCACTGGTTGTGTATGATGCTGCATGTCAACTGTATAAATTCTGGAGGTACCGATTCGGTACTGAATATATGGAAGAAACTAAATATACACAACAATTAATGAATATGGCATTGGTAACAGATCGATTTCATAATACAGTACATACCGGAAGTTTATGCAAGACATTTTTTAATCCTGATTCGGAAAAAAATAAAATTAAGTTTATCGGAATTAATACTAGCATAGCTGAACAAACTTTCTCTTATTTAACCAATTTCAAAAATGCTTTACGAAGTTTCTCTTATCCTACATCAGCATTATTTACTATTTTACTTTTTCATTTAAAAAACTGTGATAAAATAAATCAAGATCCTGCTCAACAAGGTCTTATTATTGGTAGCAATCTTGAAACTGTGATTCATGATCAACAATCTTATCAAAGTTATTGTGTATTCGAAACATTGATGATGGAACAAGATATTAATGAAGCTGATTTCCAAGCTGATGATGAATATGAAGATATAATTGATCCTAATGATAACAATAAATAACTAAATTCAAACTCATGACAATAACTTGTATTAGCTTTATTTTAACCAGACCACTTTTTGCGAAATTTTTGAAATCTTAAAGAGAAATAAAAAGATATTAGAATATATGTGGATTATTAGTTCAACAGATTTTCAACGAACATCATTGAACAAATAGGAAATAATTAAAATAAAATCCGTTAAACACGGTTGATAATACCAAAAAAAATTTTATTTTCTCATTTTAGCTATTTCTGCTGTTATACATTATAATAAAAACGAAGTTTAAAAATTCATATTTTCCTTCTCTCGAGAACTTCAAACAATGCTACATTAACTTCTACAGCAGGGTTCAATTGAATGTTTTCTTTCATTTTTTCTTATTTTGTTCTGTTATTCACATTACACAATGAACAGCACCACGAACATCATATGACAATGATAGACGCTAATGAACTATAATTCAAGAATCGCTGTCCTTATCCGACATCTTCTAACCTTTTGACATTCTCATCATTGTACTCTACAAAAAAGTAAGCTTTCTGGCTTTCCAAGGGAATACAAATTCTTCTTCGATTTTTGCAGTATCCAATAAACGGAAAAAACATTTATTATCTTCAACATCTCGGGAAAAAAAAGGCTGATGTGCTGTCGCAAAGCTATTAACTCTTTTTACGTTTATCAGATAATCAAAAACGTCTTCTCCATTTATTACTCCCCTGATCTTTTCAGTGTACATCTGAATTTAAACACTCTTTATTCAGACATTTCTTCTGATTATTCTCATGCCAATTAAAGTCAGTAACCATATGAGTAATATTGAAAGCTAATTTTCCATCATCACAACGTACGCGAGTTGAGCATAACTACATGCTAGTCCCTATTGAATATTTCCACTTGCGCTTTAACCTTTAATTTGAACATCTTTGCCGTTTAAGAAATATTCACAAATTCAAATCGTATAATTCGAAAACCTTTCTACTTAAATCTTTCACCTGTAAATCTCAACAACTTCATTCAGCAATATTAAATACGATAATGCGACTTCTGAAATTTATTATAGTTTTTCACATCATTCATGTGTTTGGAACTTTGAATCATGGAAAAAGATAGATATCCTACTGATTTTAATCCTTTGCGAACACAAATCTCTAGATCTCTACCACAGTTAGTCTCGGTAGTGCCGCTATACAACTATACCTCTATGTCAGTACCTTATACCGCTATACAACTATACTGCTATGCCAGCACCTTCTATCATTATACCAGAAATAGAACCCATCCACCATTTTCCACACCGGTACCGGTCTGGAAATATTCAGACCGGACCGGACCGGACCGATCGGTACACCGCTTCAATCGGTCTACCGGTCCAACTGGATCTACCGATCCGAACCCATCAGATCGCTTCGAACCGGTCTACCGGCCTGAACCGGGCTGCCGTTCTAAACCCGTCTACCGGTGGTAAACAGGGTACTGATGATACTCCAGTTTGCCAGGAAAACCCGACCTATCGACAAACCATCGATCTACAGACAACAGGCTAAAGCTTAAAACGAAATATTCTTGCGCCCTACGCTCTCTTGTGGGTTACCTTCGTATGCTGAATACAATCATAGAGCGGCAAAGTGAAAAACATAAACCAGTACAGACCGGACTCACCGGCTACCGGTACCGTTTCCATCTCTGCACTATACCATTATACCGCTATGCCAGTACCTTATACCACTATACAGCTATACCACTATGCCGCTATATGATTGTATTCAGCATACGAAGGTAACCCACAAGAGAGCGTAGGGCGCAAGAATATTTCG